AATTCCCTATCCCTTTTATGTTCCCCAGGCCTGTGAATGTGATAGATTTAATTCTGTTAATATTTACATGGTATCTGGTTTATTATATGGCACAGATGAGTTTAGAAAAAGAGATAAGTGAATAAACTAATCATCTTAAATCTGGGTCTAGCAGTTGAAGACACAGATATCAAAGATTGGAAACGCAAAGAAACAATACCACACTGGTATTTTGTTAATTTGAAAAACAAAAATTATACACCCTGTATGACACTCAGAGTAAGCCTCTACACTGGGCTTCACCATTCTAGAGATAAGATCAAGATTCGAGGAGACCATACTTTTCCCTGAATCACAAAGCTAGTGAATGACAGAAACAGCTTTAAACCCAGCTGCCATGGCTTCGGTACTCTTAACTGCCATGCACACTTCCTTGCTATAGGTCAAGTATCAGACTTCTGAGCAAGAAGCCTCTGGCAAGTCACAGAGAGTGAGGCACTGTGTTTGTCCCAGGATACTGGGGTACAGAGAATTCAGAGCTGGGGCTGAGCCCTGACTTCACTAGAAGCCACTGGTATGCTCTTGGAAACTCAGTGAAACCTGTGAGTCTCAGGGTTTCTGTGGGTTTTAATGGAGGGCAGCGCACGTCTCCACAGTACTGCAGGGGCGAGGGTGCACTACAGCTGGCGAAGGCTACAGGGAAGGCAGAGGCACCAGCATGGCACATAGGCGGAGCCCTTTCTTGGCATCCTCAACTTCTATTTTGGATAGGATCTCAATTGTTTTGAGAGTTATATTCAAAATAAGTTTTCTTTGGAGAGGAAATGATCACCTATTAACTTTATTTGGAAACCATAGGATAAGATGGAATATGACTTTTCATTTAAAAAAATCATTAAAAGCCTGTTGAATGTTAAAAGTTAAAGCAATAACAGTGTATTATGGAGTATATAATATATGCATACAGTAGAACATGAATACTATAGCACAGAGGCTAACAGAAGGTAGAAAAAGTATACATTTTGGGGTTTTTATATATGTGAAACATTATAATATTAATGATAGCTGTGATAAGTTAAAATATATTCTTCATGAATAAGTACCTAAAATATAATAGAAAGGGGTACTTCTAAAAAGCTAATAGAAGGGACAAAATGGCACACTAAAATATTGAATAAGTCAAAAGGAGAACAAAGGAAGAAAGAAGAAGCTTAAAAACAAATAGCAAGATGGTAGGACTTAATCCTAATGAGCTCATTAATTATATTAAATGTGTATTAACCAAATGTCCACACTAAAGGTAGAGATTATCAAACTATAATTTAAAAACAAGGCCCACAAGCATTTTCTTGACATGTAAAGACAGGACAAAATAAGAAAAGGTAAACAATATATAACCATATAAAATATATAGAAAAAAGCTGGTGCTTTTTATTACTTTAATCTCTGGCAGAGCACATTTCAAGTCAAAGATGATCAGAAATAGACATTTCATAATGACAGGAGGACCAATTTATCAAGGCATAAGAATTCTAAATATGTATGTATAGTATTAACACACACAACAGGTTCTCCTCAAATATGACAGGCTTATTCTAATAAACCCACTATAAATTGCAACAGTAAAACAAAAATATATTTCAATCCCAGGTCCCACCAAAAAACAAAAAAGAAAGAAATATATACTTATATACGTAGATGACAGAACATCATAGCATAGAATCCAACACATCTCCGAGAATCCACTGTTTCCCCTGGGAACTGCAGCTGCACCTTTGTTCAGCATTGAGAGAATCACACACTAAATTATCACTTGGCCTATATAAAGATCAAAATACACCAGTTGAAGTATAGTTTCTATTGAATATGCACGCCTTTCATACCACTGAAGAGTCAAAGGATTTTAAGTGGTTACACTGTTAAGTTGGAGACTATTCATAAAAGTCTGTCCATTCCTTTGTAAATTATACTGCAATTAAAAATATACATATGGGGGGCAGAGAGATGGCTCAGTGGAATAAGTGCTTCCCTAGCAAGCACAAGGGCCTGAGTTCAATCCGCAGTTCTGCCAAAACACACACACACACACACACACACACACACACACACACACATATGGAAAGCCTCTACCTTTAAAGAACTCAGGATTTGGTTAAGGAAACATACACAAGCATGTAAAGCAAAATTTAAAAGTAAAACAAAAGTGATTCCAAAACAGTATGTGGCCCCCAGAGTAGAAGCTAAACCCCAGGCTCTTCCCTGTGGTAACTCCTCAGTTGCCCCTCCACAGCAGGCCATCCCATGGGGAGGAGTGCAATCCTTTGCTACAGGATGAAGTTGAGAGAAGCTGAGCACCCTGACCAAGGTCACAGAGCTTATGGGATTATACTTTGCAACAGGAACTGGGACATGCATGACCCCAAACATGTGCTCTTCCAGTAAAGAGTATTTCACTTGTGAAAGACAGAATGTGCTGGATAGCCACAAACAAGAAACACTATGGTAAGAAAAGCCATGGCCAGTGCCAGGAAATGTCCTTTCTGAATTCACATGTTTAGAATTGTGCTCACAGGAGGGATAAGCAGCTGATTTCACTCAATGGGCTCTGGGGCTGTTCATAAGCCATGGGAGTGTTTATGTCAGGGGCAGAGCTCCCCAAGTGAATTACAGTCTTTTATGTACTGCATACGGTCTTCTCATAGGACAAAGAAACAGGGTGTCTAAACAGTGCTACAGTTGACCTTTCTCTCTTTTGCACCTTTCTTATCTAGTTTCTCTTTCAACTTGCAGCCTGTGGTGCCAGACAGCTCTTTGGCTGCATTTACCCATTACCTGACCTCCTGACACAGCCCCATATAGTGACAGTACTAGATCAGCTGAAGAATAGAACATGAAACTACTTCTTCTTGCTAGCCTGAGTTGCTTGTTGGCTTTCTCTTTTATTATATTTAAAATGGAGTCATCTTCACTATAGTAGAAAGCAGATTTTTTAAAGTTACTTCAGATGTTTTCTTTAGACTGGCGTTAACATAAAGCAAATGTCTCTTAAAACTCTGAACCAATCTGTTAAGATAAACAGGCTTCACTTACAATATTCCTGTGCTGAAATCACAGGCTTGTGGTATGCAGCTCTTTAAAGACTCAATTCATACATACTAAAATGTCTACTTAAGAAAAACACACACATACACACACACACACACACACACACACACACACACACACACGCTCTCACATACACACAGACACCAAGATAGCTTTGCCATGGAAACCACAAAGACATGTCTGGTTCAGACTCCGCAGCACATACCACAAATAACGGCCCATCTTCCAAGGGTAGAGTCTATGTGTACACAGGAAAAGCCCAGAAAAGTAAATGACTGCAATACTTTAAACGTAAAACTTATCTTATAATTCCTTTTTAAAACTGTATTTCAAGGTACGCAGGTCTTCATCATTGTTCCTAGCTGTATTTGCACATTTTTTCTTTTTTCCTAAACAGAATTTCAGACATTGAAGATATGGATATAAAGGGAAAATAGAAGTAAAAAGAGCACATGGCAGTTTTATGACTCTGGTTCTAGAGAGATGTGCGAATCTAACATGGAGGGATCTGGGTTTCTAGAGAAACCCACTTGCGTCATTATTTAAAAGTGCTACTACAGACTGGCAGATGCTAGGAGGCCTCCTGGAGGAGGGAGGGTATCAGAAGGGGAGGCAGGAGCAAGAAGTCCAGCCAATCAAGAACACCACAGGCTTGGGAGGCCAGGCTTTGTCAGTAGAGACTTTAAAAGTATCAGAAGTTTGATATGATTTCTCTCCCTTGCTGGGTTACATAGTCTATTAGGCCATGGACAATTTCCAATTTGTCTATCCTGCCCTCAGCATGCAGCACAAAGCCCTGAACATGGTAGATGCTTACTAAATATTGGATGAGCAAATGAAGAGGATGCTTAACAGTCTTCGTTTGTGAGATTCTTTGGATCGGATCTCTTCAGCTGGGATCACAGGTGTGAGCATATGGTTGTTTAGAGTGATAAAGTAATAACCACATGCCACTGAACTACTTATTTTTGGAAATTACCATTTCAATGCACTGCTGTTTTAATCTAGGAGGTCATGGTTTATGAAGACTTATGTTCCAGATATCAACATCTTACCTACCAAAACCCCCCCATGCAGTATATTTCTACATTTATTTATTCCATACAACTAAGGTAAAAGATTTCCATACGGGGAGGTCTGTGATCAACAGATGTACTTGTAAGCTCCAAATACCAGCCAACTTCAACCCCCGTCAGATCACTACTTCCACAGTGGCATTAGTTGGCTTAATCAATCCATGTTTTTGTTTATTCAATCAAGAACCATGCAGTTCCCACGCTGGGCAAAGACTTGAAATATACCACACATGTAATGACAGATATAATTCAAAGAGCTTTAATTCCACATAAGAGAGTAGTGACTAAATCTACATAGTGACCATTAAATAATAATTGTATTTGTTTACTCTCATAATAACTCTCCCATTAAAAAAAAAAATCACACAAGTAGCTGCCAACATTTCCAATACCAATTATCTACAACTAAACTTTCTATTTAGCACTTCTTTTTCAATCTGAATATAGAAGCAGATTTTTGATAAATTCTAAGATCCATTAAAAAAGGAAGCAGTGACAATCAATTGTGGGACTAACAGAACAGTAGGACAGGGAAACATTTTCAGATTTAGGTCAGTTTCTTCCTAAAGGCTATATAAGGACATTAGCAAGCTTCTTCCTAAAGGGCCAAATAATTAGGTACATTTGGCTTTACAAGTCTCTGTTGCAACTGCTTATTCTGCTGTTACGGCATGAAGGCAGCCATAGATTAACAAGTAAAGAGATGGGTGTTGCTGTGTTTCAATAAAACTTTGTTTACAAAAATAAGCAGGATTGAGCTGGTGAGCAACAGCTTGCCAACCCCTGGACCAGACAAACAACATGCTCCTCTCTGCAGGAAATAATAATAGATTCACTTACTTTGCTCTTTTGGCCATTTCATTTCCGTCCCATCTGGGGCTGTATGGATAATTTTTTTGGGCTTGGGAGTAAAGCTGTCCACTGTTGGTAAAATGATAGACGGACTGAAACGTGAGTGTTGGCTGATCTCGAGGAAAAAACAAGGGCAGATCAACTGAAAAGACAGAAGAAAAAGAAAAGTTGTTGGTGATAAACACAGCTTATGTGTTTTTTTTTTTTTTTTTTTTACTAACTCAGAATGTTGGGTACAGTACTACTGGGGACATTATGTTGACTGAGGCTTAGAGAAAAGTTGCAGAGCCAGGGACTCAGAAATACAAACGTGCCTTTACCAAGGAGCAGGATCTTCAAGGGGGCAAATCACACGTGTGTGCAGCATAAGCAGTGAGAAGTAGGATGTGTAGTGCTGAAAGAACTCTGTGAACAGGCACGAAGCTTAGGTGTGATGAGCACCCCAGCGGCCAGATCTCCCTTGTGCCCCCTCATCCAAACTTTCATTGCAAACTTAGCTGTATAATTATTTTAAGTCTCTCTTATGCCATAACTCTTTGTGGATTAGGCAGTGTCTTCCTCACTTAAAATTTGATGGAGGAGGTAGGACCAAAGTTGTTTTATAAGAATAGACTTGGGAAAGAGACCACGGATAGTTGATAATCTTTCTGCTTTATGTAATATGGCAACTAGACCACCAGAAAAAGTTATCACGCTGCTTCTAATCAAGCTGTGAATTTTGATGCTCAGCAGTTTCCATTTTTCCATATGTGTTCCCACATGTATTTATAGCTCCTAAATCAGAGGGAGCTTCCTAATGAAGGCACTCAATACGCTTGCTGGTAAAGTATGACTGCTTCCACTCTTCACTGTCAGTGCTTCATCTTTTCACTTGGGGGGTTCTTTAACTTAATTTTTTAAAAATAAAATGACTTGCTAGTTTTAGGTGAAGTAAGCTATTATTAAAAACATAAACTGTCTCAATAACACAGTCTTAAAGGTAGATAACATGTGTCTGTGTGAACATTACCCATTTCTTGGACTAAGAATAGGCATACTAAAAAAAAAAATTCTAATTTTTCAGAGTACTTGCAATTTGTTGGTTAAAACTTCATGAAAGAGACATTATTTTGACCATGTGCATTTAACAGATGATCAAACTTGAGATTCCAAGCAGCTGATTAACTTGCTCAGATCACAGTAGGCAGGGGCAAGAGTCAAGTCTAGAACCATGATTCAAATTCTAGGCTCCTACTATGTGACAGTGCCACCTCCTGCTCTAGAGGATCTGGCAGAACCAGCTTGCCACTCACTCACTATGCCATCATTATGTCTTAGTAAGCCTAAGCACCACATAAAGAATGGCCAAAGTTAACCTTTTTGGCTACATGAGGTAAACATAGTAAAAGAATACATACTAGATAATTATAAATCTATCATCATCCCAGGATGGGGTGATATTAAATTTAGATGAGGCCCTCTAAGTACCAATATGATTTCCTGAAGGAAAAGTTAGGTTCATAGCAATTTTCTTTTTTAAAAAAGAAAACAACAACAGGGCTGGCCAAATACTCAGCAGATTAGAGCGCCTGCAGGCAGGTGCCAGGATTGAGGATTCAATCCCCGGGCCTGTGCCCCTGGGACATGCTGAGACTGGCAATTGAGGCTGGGCATGGTGGTGCGCGCCTGTAATCCCAGGTCTTGGGAGGCTGTAAACAAGCAGATCACTATGAGTCCTATCTAGTACTGAGACCCTGAACACCCTGTAGAGCCTTCTCTAAAAAAAAAAAAAAAAAAGAATAGAAAATAACAACAAAAAAATTCCAAGAAACAAAAAACGATCCAGTTGGTAGGGCCCCTCAGACCTCTAGGCACTCGACTCTGATGCTGTCTGACTCAGCGCTGCTGGGGTTTCTACAGATGAATCACATTACAACCAGAAGAAAGGGGGGCAGGATTGTGAATGTCCACTTTTTAGTCACATGTGTCAAGTGCCACAATAAGGCAACTGAATACTTATCTATTCACGCCAAGGCAGAGATTTCACAGCCTACAGGAACATCACAAAATATGAGAAAAAAAAAAAAACAACAAAAAAACAAACAAACAAACAAAAAAAAAACAATCCAAGTAACTCAATTCAGAAAACTCTTTTGGATCCCTTCACTTATAAAGCTTGATCTATAATTTTCAATCACTTTCAACAAACACTGCTTTCTAAATTTTTTGTGTCTTTGCTGATTATTTAATTTCTGCTTACTTTTAGAAAAAATGCCTGTCACATATGAGTTACTTTGACTTTAACTGTAATTGTTACAATATATACAAGTTTTCAAATGTAAAACACAGGATGTGATTCTCAAGTTACTGGTTCTTCTGGGTTTTGGTGTACAATTACTTTTCAAAAAATTTTGTTCTAAGAAATAGAATGTTGTTACATTGTCCTGGCCCCAAACTCCTGAGTTCAAACAATCCTCCTGTCTTAGCCCCATGAATAGGTGAACCTGTAGGTGTGTGCCATTGCACCTGGCTGAAATATGTTTTTCCTTGTTATTTTGTTTTGTAGAAATGGATTTCTGATGTATTTTGATATGCTAAGAAACAATTTTTCTACCGATTTCTAAACTGTCTTTGAGTCAAATGCCCATTGAGTATGAAAAATAAATTTAGGTCTGAATGAATAGATTTGCCTAGGTGAGTGAGCTGTTCTGATTTCTGTTTGTTTTTTTGAGACACGGTCTCATTAGATAACCTAGATTAACCTTTAATTTGTTATGCAGCCCAGGTTGATCTCAAACTCATGATCCTCCTGTCTCAGCTTTCCAAATGCTGGGATTTCAGCTGTGTGCCAATCACCTGGATGTTCTAATTAACAACAACAACAACAAAATCTTTGTTGATTGTGTAGTGTGATTCTAAAGAAGCACTGATTATATAATTATTTCTCCACACAGATTTGGCCAACAAAGTGTAGGAGAAGCCAATATTAAAATTTAGTATTTTTTCACATACATAGTAAACTGGATTAGGGGAACAAGAACGGAACACTTCAGATTAAAAAAAAAAACAACACAAGTTAATGTGAATCACATGTAATTCACATGTTAATTCATGTATGAGAAAATAAAATGTTTAAAACCAAAAATATCTTGTTCAACTTAACTCAGTTGTGTTCTTCCTATCTCAGTCAATAGTTAACAGAGTGGTGCTTTCTTAAAAAGTGTTCTAAGAGTGATTTAATAACCATAATATTTATGAAAAATACTTTGCATTTTTCTTGTAAGAATTATCTGAACGATATAGTAAGAACTGAAACAAAACTTCTGCCTATAATCTTGTACAGCAATTAACCACTAAGAAGAATATATGCAGTGTATTATTTGTTGAAACTGTACTCTCGATTTTGATTTGAACCTGTCTCATTGCTATATGTTTATCAATAAAACTTTGAAAATAAAAAAAAAACTTCTGCCTATAGATTAACTCATAATCTTTTTAAGATTTATTTATTTATTTTTGGTATAGGGTCTCACTATGCAACTTGGACTTCTAGTGATCCTCCTTTCCCAGCAGCCAGCATAGGGTGGGGCCGGCACGGCATGTGGTACCAGGGATCAAACCCAGTCCTTGCACTTGCCAGGCAGGCACTTAGACCACCGAGCTATCTCCCTGGTACCAATTCATGATTTTCTGATGCACAATAAACAAAGCACTTTAGGCCTGCAAACAGCTCACTTGCTCTGAAGGTTTCTGTCTGGTTGTAAGCCATTTGGACTCATAGTTTCAGCTGTATCAAACCTCAACACTGATAATTTGCTTTTGTGGAACTTGCTTCTGGAACAGAATCACTCCCTCTGGTTTAGGCATTTCCTACTTCCTTCTTTCTGCACGCAGAGACTGAATCTTGGTCAGCTGTCTATTCAGGGAGGGGATGGTCCTCAGTTGTTCAATAGACTTTCAATAACTTGTTGGAACAAGTCATATTAAACATGTCTAATTCTGCATAAACCAGGTGGGTCTTAGGGCTCTGCAACTTGGGGAGAAGTAGCAATACTTAAGCCTTGTCCAAGATAGTTGCTGCAAGGACAATTTCTACTGGTTGTGGTCCCAGAAATAGTGGCACTTGCCAGGATTTCAAACTTTGACAGAAGCTGAATGTACCAATGCAGGGGGCTGCCTCTCTGTCAATCAGTGAAGAGCAGGTGGACAGCTGTAGTGTACTAGACTGTAAGTGCATGACCTGTTATCATAAGAAGGTTCCAGGATAAAGTTTGTATGATTCTCCAAAGCCCTTACTTCTCCAAATACTAAAACAATGGAGAAATTAGCTCGAGACAGCGCTCCAAATGCCACTAAGCACTGGATTCACAGGATGGCCTGTCAGATCCTCAGAACATTTCAGGCATGGTTCTAACAAGTTTGATTATATGATTTTTTCAGAAAAGAACAAAACATAATGATGGTAAGGTGAGGGCAAGGCACTTCAACAGCAAGTAATGACAGCCAGCAACCTGGAGCAAGGGAAAAGGGTGATAAGGTAGAATAAGAGGGGTAAAAGAATCCCAGTTTGGTGCCACTAAGTATAGGAAACAAAAACTATACACTCTAGTCAGGCGTCGAGTTTGTCCCACACAGTCGGTAACATACTCCATCTGACTCCTAGTATCTTGGGCACTGGGGCAGACACCCCTGGTTGCCTACCTAAAAGCCATTTTCCATTCTTCCTTTTCATGAGCAGGGCCCTTACTTCCATCAAGACTTTGAAAGTGCTGGATGTCTGCTTTCTTAGATTTTCATAAGCCAAAACATGGAAATCTGACTCACTTGTGCCTATGGGATCTGAGGGGAAGTTTGTGAGGGGTCTTCTGAGAAACATTTTCCTCTCTGATTAAAGCTATGTGTAAGAATAATCCCCCATTTCATTCCAGCCTTGTCCCTGTCATGTGAAGTCCTGAGGCTTGGAGCTGTAGTACCCATCTTGTGACTCTGAGGAGGTTAGCAGCATCACCGAGCTGCTGAGCTGCTGAATGGATCCTCCCTGGAGCTGCGGAGGTCTAGGTTTCTCGTTCTGTGAGATGCTTATCAGTCTTTACTATTTAAACCTCTTCTAATCAGCTCTTCTCAGACTTACATTCAAAGGCACTGACATCTAAGGAAAAGTTA